ATATATATATATATATATATATATATATATATATATATATATATATAGAGAGAGAGAGAGAGAGAGAGAGAGAGAGAGAGAGAGAGAGAGAGAGATATTGGGGATTGAACCCAGGACCTTGCACATGCTAGGCAGGCAGTCTACCACTAAGCTACATCCCCTGCCCTGCTTTAAGATATTTTTAATCATCAAAGATAGGTGGTATAGAATTTTATTGTTAAAAAACAAAAGGGAGAAAGAAAGAATGATAAAAACAGTGACATTCATGGTTTTTATTCCAAGTAAGTTGCTCAGGTACTAATCTTTTACCAGAATAAACCTGTCAAAGGTTAATATAGATGATTTTACAGTACATAAAACTCTATAAAACTTAGAAACATAAAACGAGGTTGTAATTTAAAACAATATAATTTTAACTACAGATACATTTACCTATCATACATGAATGATTCAAACTCTTTTATATACATGAAGTCAGATAATTTCAGCTCATTTTAAAGTCTATTTCAGTATGAGGAACTGTATCCATGAATTGTAATTTTTGGCATTTTAAAGATGTGTTTCACCAGATTTATGTTTTTTTTAAGTTCTTGTAACTTGATTTATTGATCAACTATCAAACATAGACCAGTCCTTGGTGACAAAAGCAAAGATGTTTTACATGTTTTCATTAGAATCTGGCTTTTGAAGGATTTGTTCATACAGAAAATTTGGAGTTTATTAAAACATTAAAATTCTTGATAATTTTCATCTTTGAATAAAGAAACCTTATGTTTTAAGACAGAATCATATAACTGAATATGTCATTTGCAAAGCCAAGCTGTTTGATGAACCAAGTAGATTTTTGCCTCACTGAATGAGTATATAAGGAGAGATAAATCTGACACTTAAAGTGAAATATGGTCAATAATGATAATTCTGAAACATGTTAGCATGTAATTGTATAAGACTTAGCTATTAGATAAATTGATTAATATTTGAACTTGTAGTTCTGGAATATCTAACTCAGATCAATGGTGGTATAAAAAACTTGCACAAGGAAAGTAAAATCTAATGTTTGATGACTTCACTGTTTTTACTGGCATAGCAAGGAAAATGACAATGAAGAAAGCTCTGTGTACTTTAGAATCAAAATCCCATTTTTGCATTGACTAGCTGTCTGACCCCTTGGAAAAGTTACTGAATTTCCCTGAGTCTTTTTTTTTTTTTGCTTCTAAAACATGTAAATAACTAATCATATCTTATTTGCAGACCTGTTGAACTTTGAAAGATTCTTTACATTATACGTGTAAAGAATCTAGCAGTGTCTTCTACTCTGTAGGTACTGAATAAAAGTTAGAATTTTAAATTTTGAGTACTGTTAATATGGATGAAGGATGAGATAACTGGCCCCTCTGTTTGTCATTTTTGTGCCTTTGGACACCAGGGTTTTAATTATGTTATGCAAGCACTTGGGATGCTTAGAGGCTTAGTAGGAAGGTGAAACTGATACTGTTCTCTGCTTTTTCTTTTAAGCTACATGGAAGGGAAAACCTCCCAGTACTACTTTCACCTGTTGGTCCTTCATTAGAAAGAAACCAAGATTTAATTTCCTCTCCCAGAAACCAGACTGATGGAGAAGTTTGTGTTTTTATTTCCCTTCTGGTTTGTTTCTATTTTCTTTCTGAAGTTTAAAGATATTTGAAGCTCTTATCTTTGGCCCCATTGCATGATCATTTTTAAAAACCTTCCTGTAGGAAGAAGGAATTTTATAGCAACTAACAATTTTTTAAGCAATGTTTTAGACTGAACCAAAAGTTTCATTATGTCTGTGGTAAAAGTAGGAAATGCACAAGAATTTCATCTAATTATATAAAAGTGATTACTGGTCCTACAGTATTCAAAGCTTTCTATTTAACTAATCATCTCTTTTCTTCTAGGAGTCAAACTGTTATGATTTTTAATGCAGGCTAAGGGCTATACTGTAGGATGGGTAGAGTGATGTAAGAGAGAAGAGAAACATAGTAGAAATTAGTTTCATAGAACCCAGGCTTCAAGAGAAAGGATAAGTCCTTTTCAGTGATTCTTACTAGGCCTCCATAAGAAAAGGCAGAACACCTTTAGTTTTTTAAATGGTTTGGGGCTAATTAAAAAATCTACACTTAAAATGGAGAAGACCCAGAGGTAAAAGAAAATATAGAAGAAGAAAGGGTACATTGATGTCTGACAGTGTAGTTTACT